GTGGTCCAGGCGGCTTTTGAACGAGTTCAGAGATGGAGCAGACACAACTCCATTGGGTAAAGAGTTCCATTGATTGACGACACGGTTGGAGAAGAAATGTTGTCTTGTCGAAGTGCGAAAATTCTCTTTGCGCAGTTTGTAGACATGCCCACGAAGCCGAGGGTCCGTATCTAGATTGAAGAAATCTTGACCAATGAAGAAATTGCCGTGCAGGATACGGTATGTAGTTATCAGGTCACCACGTTCACGTCTCGATTCTAGGTAGGGTAGTTGCAGTCTTCGAAGTCGTTCTTCATAGGGGATGTTCTTGAAACCACGAGGAATTTTGGTGGCTCTTCTTTGAACTCCTTCAAAGCGATTAATGTCCTGTCTGAGTAGGGGGGACCAGATAACCACTGCAAACTCGAGATGGGGTCGGATGTAAGTGTTGTAGATTTTGAGGAATGCCTCGGGGGTCAGGTCCTGGAATGATTTCTTTATCATGTATAATATTTGGTTGACCTTACTGACGACTTTGGGTGACGTGCGCAATCCAGCTTAGGTTTTCAGTGATGATGATGCCAAGGTCATTTTGCTGAGTCACTGGTGTTAAGTTAGCGCCGTTGACAGAGTAAGAACGATGAGGGTTTCGTTCAATTTCAATGGATCAATAACGTCATTGTTGACTAGGAATTCGATGAGTGCTCTACATATTATTCGTTCCATGACTTTACATGGGACTGAGGTTAGACTGATAGGGCGATAGTTGTTGGTTGATAACTTGTCCCCTTTTTTGAAAATGGGTGTTACTCTAGCCATTTTCCATCCATCGGGAAGAACGCCAGTCTCCATGGATCTATTCATCATTATTGAGAGTGGCTCGCATAGTTGTTCGGCGCATCTAGATAGTAGAAGAGGATGGATGTTGTCGGCCCCGGGTGATGAGTCTGGGCGTAAATAGCGAAGAAATTCACAGACGGTGCCTGGATCGAACTCGATGTTATTAATACTTTCAACTAACCTGGTATCAGCATGCAATTGAGGTGGAGGAGTACTGGGGTCAATCGTATAGGCCTCGAAAAATGAGTCCGCGAATGCCTCCGCCACTTCTATGTTGTCCCTGCAGATATTACCTTTGTTATTGCGGACTAAAGGTATGGTCACACGTGTAGACAAACGTGAGCGGGTGTATTTATAGAATGCTTTGGGCCCATCGTTTATCAATCGATTCTCATAGTTTTGCCTGCCTCTCCGTAGAAGTCCCGTCAATTGATTGGAACAAATTCTGTGGCGTGTGTAGTCCTCATCAGAATTGGATCTTTTGAATCTCTGCCAAAGCGCCTTCTTTTCAAGACATTTGTCATGAATATTCTTGTTGATCCAAGGTTTCCCGTATGAGACTTTGGGTGTGAACCTTGGTGTGAACATTGGGGCCACGTCGAGTATTGTTTTGGACCAACTTTTCCATAAGGTATCAGGGTCAGCTCCTTCTGGGCAATCTTGAAACCAGGTGAAATTTTGGAAGTGGTTACCTAAAGCTTCATAATCGGCCTTATGGAAGTTGAGCCTTGGGTTAGAATTTGGCTGGCTTGGTGTGAACTGGAAATGAAACTCTATACAGACGTGATCGGATATACCAATAGGAGGGTTTAAGTTATGTGCATTTATTAAATTTTCATCGTTAGACATCAAAAGATCAAGAAGTGAGGAACATTCAGAGATATATTGAGTAAGGTTGGATTGGAGGAACATATCAACAAAGTCAGCAGATGCATCGTTCGTGGAAGTGGCTTCGCTGAGAGGCCAAACTATTTTCGGATAATTGAAATCGCCGACTATGATGAGATTATCCAATGAGGTGGACCGACTATGATGAGATTATCCAATGAGGTTGAAAGCGAATCGATTTCCCTCGGCGTCTTGGTCTGTTTGCAACATTTGGCATTCTTGTTCGCTACTACAGTTTATTATCACAACCCCATTTTTCATGGTCATAACAGAATTAATGCTAATGCTAAATTAAGAGCATTTATCATTATTATTATGTGATTTTTCCACCATTATCAGCAAATTACGTCGCTGAAGTTCGACGAATGCTATGGCCTGAGTAATTTTAGGATTGGGTAAATTCAATCAATCAATCAATCAATATCATTTATTGTATCTGAAGGATCATATTCTTATTACAAGAAAATTGGTGTGACCCAAATTTATATTATATACAAACGTGACACTGTTAACAGGGGTATATAAAAAAATAAAAAAAACTGAGAACATTTCGAGTACAAAAAATGAAACTATATCATTATAATAGTTTAAGTGCTATTTTTTTTATCGCTTGGAGCGCACGAAAGGGAATCTCTATAATGTTCAAAGAACATCGTGCTATCCAAAGAAAACAAAAAAAAAGAAATAAAATAATGAGACTAAGCAAAAAGAGTAAATTACTCATTAATGATGAAAGATCGTAATTTTAAGATATTCATGATGGCATGAACCAGCTGCTTTAAAGTGCCAAAAAAGTGAGAATTAAGGATACTTATCAAATCATCCATATTGCTTAATTGTTCAAACAGTTCACTTCTCCGTATGCCAGCATATATAGGACATATGAATAAAATATGTGCTAAAGTCTCTCTCTCATGCAGATTACAGATAGTACAGAGTTCTTCTGTGTTGATAATGTAAGCGGAGCCCGAGAAAGTGAATTTTAATAGTGTTTTGCTACATGTTCGAATTTGAGCAATGATTCTGGTAATGTGTATTGGGCAAGCAATTTTCAAATATTTTTGGCTGGCGTCGTACAGCGTTAGTGAATGATATACATAGGGAACATTTTATAGATTCAGGCTTTCGAGATCTCTTCTTAGCAATGTATCTTTGAAATTTTTTATAATTTTGTTTGCTAACTTTTTCGATGGGTTGGTAATTAACGTTCTATTCGCATCTTGATCTCATTGTACATATCGGCAGGATCAGTTGACAACATTTTGTGATCAAGTTCCTCAACTTCAGAGCGCAGATCATTTGTTTCCAGTTCAAGAGAATCAACTTTTCGTTCTGCTGCATTAATATCTGTCGAATATCACTTGTACTATCGGTTAATACATTTAGCTGGGATAAAATCAGCTGAAGTTGCACGCTCATCTGGTTGTCGGTGCCGCCACCGGTCGGCATTTTCAGAATTAAATTTGACCCCGGTTTGGACGTTGACCGATAAAGAACAGCTGTGGGGATTCCAATTATACCACAAAAAATTATTGGATTTTTTGCGGTCGATAGTACCTACGATAGTACAGCTTAGGCATACAATAAATATGCGACGAGTCTCGTGATGTGTACTGACTGATTCTACTTCTTGAAGTATTATTCAACAAAGTATGACACTTTTATGACACTTGTATACAACACTCAATCGGCTATCAGCTTCAAGTCAGAATGTCGTTAGTATGGATGAAGAAACACTCGTTTCACTTGAAAATAACTTGATTGAAAAATTCTTCGATTCCTAATCCTAAATTCCCAAAACTGCAGTGAATACCAACAGGCTGAATCAAACATTTCCTTTTTTGTAATTCACGAATAATCTGTTATGTGGAGGATGGGTTGGCCTTGAAGATAAATATTGCCTATACACATACAGTATGATCCAAATGTATGGAATGAATTCATTTCAAAACAAGATGAATTTCGAAAAAATCCAAAAACTAGACGACCCTTCGATGTTCAATTCTCAGTAGCAGACCTGCAAGATACAGTTAATCAAATGATAATCCATTTTTATTTCAATCTTCTTATGAAAACTTTTGACTGTTAGATAGACCCCTGTTTGTATTTGAAAAAATCGTCCATTACATTATTACTCCAACACCGGTGATGTAAGATCTCTCATATGAATGTCATGAAATGCGGCTTCAAGAATTAAAACTTACGTGTTTTCGGAATTTCTTCAGATGTCGCCCATTTCTGAAATAATGAATTTATTCCATACATTTGCATCATACTGTATATACTCTTAACAGAAGGTTTTCTTGTCTAATTACAACAAAAGTTCTCTCAATATGTGTTTCGGCATCTGGTATTTTCACAAGCAACATGTCTTGTCGTTTATTAGATCAATTGACATTTCGTTAGTTCTTTCCGTCTACACGCACCGGCTAATCCAATAATAATTGTTGCTAAGTACCTGAAAATGAAGAAACTTAAGTTGATACTTTTATATCCTATAATTGTAATACTTTGTCAAAATTACCTTTAGCATTATATAATATGTTTCATTATCTGCTTCCCTAATGAATTTGTTGATCTGCTCGCTGCTGAAGACTTCTGATTTTTTTGCTTGTTAACCAACATTCCTTTTAATTGTGTTTATATTTTTCTTCACTCGCATGATACTTTTGTACATGAGTACATGCTCCACACGATAGAGGATTTGACAGTTAAGGATTTTTGCGCCAAATAAGCCGAAATTGAGTACATTCTCTGTGACAGAAAACTGTACTATGAAGAAATGCAATCAATTTCGTGACCAAATCATGAACGTCTCTTACCTGGACATTCATTTTTCAGACAATACTTGATTGTGCTGTAGCAGCAGCTACAATGGTTTCGTAATGCACATTTTCGAACCCAGTATCGCTGCTGCTTTCCATAGTTTATTGCGATAATGGCGACCAAAAACCATGCAATTTTTCCAAAATCAAAATGTCAACTAATTCCATGTCGAGTAGCTGTCAGTCGTTATTTCGCTGGTATAGTAATGATCAACTGCATTTATCAAAACCATACCTACCAAGATTCTCATATTTATAATAACAACAACGATGTAATTCTTCCAGACCCAGTCCGGGAAGTACATACTAGGAAACGCATTTTGTGTAACTCTCGTTACGTGTTTCCTAACTGACGTAAATAATAATTTTTGCATATTTTGCGTTAAACAGGATGTCACTTTCATTCCTAATGAAACAATTCCAAAGTTGTTTTAATATTGATCATTTTTATGTTTATTCTCATTCCAGATTCCCTTGGAGAGATCGGAAAATTTGATATTGGCTTTTTGTGAGAAATTAACGAAGGCCCAGGGCACCAAATTGAGTATTATTTGTTTGAGAGCGTAAGTATAAATCGGGATTTCAAAATGAATGTGGTTCTTGATATACATTCTATTATATATATTTTTTTTTTCAGTTTATGGCTTTTATTCCAATCTTTAGATGATCGTTCACCCATGCGATATCCTGTGTATTACCATTTAATTCAAATTGCTAAGATAACTGATTCTGTCAAACTTGTTTACCAAGATATTGATCATCTCAAACAACAATTCGCGAAGTGTCCTCCATCAAGTGATCAGCTTCAAAAATTGTACAGACTCCTTCATGAAGTATTACTCAAGAGTAATCAAAGGTGAGTTGGTATGTGCAATAAGAGGTTTGTAAGAAATAACATTGTGGAAAATCATTGTTCAATGTCGAATACTATATTTTTTACTGAACAGTCAAAATATATGGAGAAGTTGAATACTCAAAGCTAAAAAAGGGGGCCTCCCAAAGCATGACACACACACACTGCTGTTTTTCATTATTTTTTTATAATCTGTGACCTTCTGTTATCATAAAGACATACTTTGAAATTGATTTGAATATTTCTGTTTGTATTTCATTAGAAACAGAAAATTTGAGATCGATAATGCAATATTACATAGGGTATTACCTAAGATGTTAACCAGATTCTCTGAGAATATTCATAGGATATTCTCACAATATGATACAAATATTCTAGGGACGTTCTATGAACATTCGGAATGGTCCGTTCTAAATACTCTATGAATATTCCTGTTATATTATAGAAGAAGAAAAATTGAAAAAAAAAACTCCGGTGAAGATGCGAACCTCTTGTAATTGAAATTTTACAAACCTCACATTTTTCGCGCGCTACGAACCTTATTGATGAATAATATGATTAGCAAGATGTCATCACTTCATTAGTAGGATAATTAGCATTGAGGCTAGGAAATAATACGTTGGGAAAGGGGAAACTTTATAAATATTGATACAAGAATTGCATTAATACCACATTTTAATGCGGTCGGAAGGATTTGGGTAGGGAATGATTCGCCGTACCCGATTTGTGTAGGTATATACATAACCCTCGCTGTTGACCAGCCTAACGGAATGTAGCTCCACGCCAAACTCGCTCTATATAATTTAACCAGGAGAGGTAGTAAAACTTCTCTACCCTTTTGTAAGAGGGCAGGAAAAACTCCGTCCTCTCCCGGAGACTTGAATGGGGAGAAACAATTCACCGCCCATTCCACTGACTCTGGGGTGACCACCATTGAGGCATTCTTCCAGTCCTCCTTTTTTGGTCGTATTATCGATCCCATTGGAAGTGGAATCTGCTGACGGTCCTCCAGGAGCAGGCTGCCGGGAAAGTGAGTCTGTAGAAGAACCTCTAACGTTTGCCTACCAGAGTTCGTAAAAGAGCCATCCGGTCGTTTTATCGAGCCGATCTCTTGGGTCGGATCTCTGGCGAGAGCCTTGTGAATTCTCATGCTGGCAGGTACATCTGATATACTCTGACAGAATCTCCTCCAAGAGTCTCTTTTGGCTTTCCTTATTTCTTTGTTATAAGCCGTTAGAGATGTGCGGTAAGTGTCCCAGCACCCTGCATCTTTAGCTCGATTGAAGAGACGTCGAACTTCTTGCCTTTTTTTGTCCAGGCTCTTGCTCCACCAGGGTGTTCCTCTGTGGTCTTTCTTCTCCTTTAGTGGGCAGTTGTCCTGATAGGCCGTTAGAATTGCGGTTGCTATACGCTCATTCGCCACTTCGATTTCGGCACTATTTTTGATAGTACTGATTCTGGGATCAAGCTTTGCCAAAGCAACTTCTAGGATGCACCAAAAGGTTGTTGCTTATCGTATTATGCGTACCGTGTGCTCTCAGTTCCCAAAACGCTTTCAAAGGTCGAAGAACAATTTCTCGAATCAGTTTCGAAGATATCGATAAAAATATCACCCTTTGAAAAAAAGTGGACAAAAACTCGCGCCTCGCACTGAGTAAATAGATTCAATTACGAATATGGTGCCAGGAGCGCCCTCTAGTAACCAACAACCTATAGCTTATACGTAAAAACCACATGGGAGTATACAACTCTTATCTACTCGCGCAGAAATCTATCTCTATCTGCCATCAGTATGACCAAATGGAAAATACATAAAACCACCTCACACGACTACGAAACAAAGTATATTCCTATTGATTCACAAACAATAAATTCCGGTTAAAGCCTTTCAAATAAGAGGTGAAGGATTCAAAATATCTATCACTTTATGTAACATTTATTATTTTTCTAAATGTTGAATCTCATGTAAGTTACATACAATTTGATGTGATTGCACACTGCATTATTATTTTTTTATATTTCCTGTTTTTCATTTGTTAAAAGTGTACCCAGAATTCAAATAGCTGTATCTCAGAAGCTATCCATGACAAGAGCCCTACTCAAATCATTAAAAATCATGACTTGAAGCATAACTTCAAAGTTAGTTTCAATGAACTTTGCTGGGAAACTAACTAGTTTTCAAAATTCTGAAAATTTGACTCAAAAAGTTGTATGCTCAGGAAGGTGATTTTCATGTCAAATAGTGAATAATTTACAATTGTTCAAAAAAGGACTGAATGTTTTTTTTTCAGTCAAACCATCCCTTCATACTGACATTTCGAAAAAACTAGAGCAAATTCAAAACTTTCGCAGTTTTTTTGGCACTGGCGTCTCTTCCGGCGCATTGGCGAGATCGAAAGCTCAGGCTGTCAATAGTACCCCTATATATACAATAACATACCAAAAATTCAGAAGAACTACCCGACCCTCTGCATCTATACCCCCCCCCCCGTCTGGGTTTACGGTTCGACTGGATTAGTTACAAAAATGTTCTCAAAATGAGAAATATCTTATGATTAAACCCAATTAGAAGGGTCCGGACTGCTATTTCAAGTTCTGTAGTACTTACAGCAATAGGTTGGTGCTGTTGTGTCAATTGTTATTTTGCTTCTCCATATTTACCAATTCAATAGTAATTCTTTCAAATTCGAAACTTTATCAGTACTGAATGAAGAAAATATCACAATTTCCAAATCTGCGTTGACAGAATCGTTAATGAAAACCAACGTCGCTCCATGACATATAAATCTGTGGAATCTGCGTTGAAACGATTCTGCATATTAATTATGACTGTCAGTAATGTGCAACTTGATTGGCTATTGATTTCATTATATCTGTTTCTTTTTTTTTGCGACTTTCAGATGTTTCAAAACAATCATGTATTTATTAAGACCCATACATTCACACCAAAAAAGCCTCATGTGGCCCGCGAGCCACACTTTGCTTATCTTGAGTTATGAGAATATCTCAGTGTACGAGAAGCGGCGGGGGCCTATGCACTCTACCTTTTTTCACTTCTAACCAGTTGTGATTTTACTATCCTTGTAAAAACTCAATATAGTTAGACTACAGAATTATATTCTTATCGTTCACCCCCTATATAGTACACTTTGCTTATCTTGAGTTATGAGAATATCTCAGTGTACGAGAAGCGGCGGGGGCCTATGCACTCTACCTTCTTTTCACTTCTAACCAGTTGTGATTTTACTATCCTTGTAAAAACTCAATATAGTAAGACTACAGAATTATATTCTTATCGTTCACCCCCTATATTGGTACTCCCAAGTAACATCCCCAATAGAGCAGCTATGTTACATCTTCCATTATCAGTTACGATCATCATTATTGTAGTATAAATACCCAACACTGTTTCCAAAACAAACGATTGTGTGATTATTTCATGTACCTGATGATTCAATGTCTGTAGATAGTTAAGGTAAAAACATAAAAAATAGTTTCAACAGAAAAAAATCCTTAAGTTGAAAAATCTTGATTTTGAACACCCTATACCTCTGTAATCATTCTTGTTAGGCCCCAAGTGTGATATATTGATGAAATCAGCTCTCCAGGGAGAATCGAAAATGCGATGATATACAGGGTGTTCCATTTAATAAATCAACTAATACCCTGTAGATAGTTTGTTCCGAGCACACTGTATTATCTGATGTAGCGGAAAAAATTTCATCAAACATCATTTCAAAAATGATCCTTCAAATTTTGCGATAGATCCATCAGATGATATTGGAATTTTGGGACTGTTTCTAGAGTGTCTGCACTATTTATTAAATATGAATTGCATGTTTCTCTTTTAGTGCTTGCTGAACCCCTCAATCAACGTTACATTAAATTGTGATTACTTCTTGAAACAGAACTCAACTTATACTAATTGTTATTTCCTTAAACTGAAAACTACTGCAGCTATACATGTATTATTTTATTTTCAGTGAGCAAGCGGCAATGGTAATGATCGAGCTCCTCGGAACTTATACTGACAAAAATGCATCCCATGCAAGAGAAGATGCCATCCGATGCATAGTTTCAGCTTTGGCTGATCCCAATACATTCCTTTTGGACCCCTTATTATCTCTGAAACCAGTGAGCTTTCTTGAAGGCGAGTTGATTCATGATTTGCTGAATATCTTCGTTAGTGAAAACCTTGCAACTTACTTGGAGTTTTACAAGGAGCATAAGGAGTTTGTTACTTCCCAAGGTAATTATTATTGATTGTCATAGTATAATATTAACATTTTGACGGCTGTTCAAAAAGGGAACAATGGTGGTAATACATGAAAGTAATACATTTTTCCCCCAGTAGGTAGACTTTAACAAAATCATTACCGGCATCACGTCATCAAACAACCAATCACAACACTCCCTTTAATTAATCATCAAACCACAATAAGAAATAATGTTCATGATGAGTCATCAATCTAATTCAATTATATTTCATTACACCAATCTTCTCCAATCAAGGAAAACACGTGCACTATGGGTCATCGATCTGATTAACATTTCATTAAGTACTTGAAGACACGTGCACTATGAGTCATCAATCTAATTCCATCATATTTAATTAAAATAATCATCTCCAATCGAGGAAAACACGTGCACTATGGATCATCACTCCAATTCATATTACATCAGACGAATCAGTTTTATATGAATTGCTCATGAAAACACATGAAACGTAAAATCGCATTTTTTCTATGAAATTTGAATCATCATAACTTTCGATTTCCAATTATTTTTCAGTTTCTGAAAGCTCGTTTCGTTGACTATCGAACCTATGGATATGACTATTTCATCTTTTCCGGATCAGATTCTACAGGATGATAATCAAAGCTGTGCATTTTTACAAAAATTTCAAACGCCTTCTGTTTGAAAGAAAAATGTTTCTATTTTTTTTTTGGGTCAAAAACATATTGCTTTGTATGTTTTCACATTGTCACACGCGGGACTGAAATATGTATGTTTTATTTAGATAATGCATAATTTGATGCTCTAATTTCTATTGGCTTTGTGTTCCTGTCAATCTGGTTCGAACGGTGGTCAGAAATCTTGAAATGATGCATGATCAACCTATACTCATATACAGGGTGGTCCTCAAACAACAATTATGACATCAAGTAATAAAAATAATCTTGTTTTGACAAGCAAGAAAATTTCGAAGCAGGAAACCGATTGACAAGTTTTCTGGCAACCAAAGCGTGAAGGAGAGGTTGTCATCACCATGTCAAGTTGCTACAGAATCTATTGCAAGATTCACAAAGGACTCATTTGTCGAAATTCAAAAGAATGGCAGACGTGAGTCACATATTCGAGATGGCAAATGAGTAGGTTGTGCGTTCGCTTCTGCCCGGAATAGCTTGATCGTTTATCAGTATATCGAGAAACAATCGAGTCACGATAGTCAATCGAGGTTCATGAAAATTCAAATCGAGTGAATATACTCACTTCAGCAGACAACAAAAAGTGTGTGTTGTGTTTAGTTAACATGGGTCTCACTAAACGCGACCTTGACGAGATTGCAGCCATCGTCGACGCCAAGACAAAAGTCTTAATGAATGAGGATTACATGCAGAATCTAGCAGCGATGATAGGCAAAACTGTAGCAGCTAAGTATGAAAAAATTATCAATAACCTCACCATTGAGGTGGAAAATCTTAAAAAAGCTAATGACCTACTCCAAACTGATCTAGATGATCTGAATCAACTGTCAAGAAACAACAACCTGAGATTTTTCGGAATACAGGAAAATGTAAACGAAAATATTAATGAGGTTATTTTGAATATTCTCAACCAGAACATGAAACTAAAAAATGTTAGTCCCGCCGACATAAAAAGGTGCCACCGAGTGCCTAACAAAAACATTGATGTCAATAAACCCAGGCCAGCAGCTGTTTTGGTGCGATTGAAAAATTCCGTTCGAAATAATGTCATGAAAAATAAAAAGTATTTGAAGTCCTCAGGAATATATGTACAAGAAGATCTCACAAAAACGAGGCTCTTCCTTCTGAAAAGTGCTACCGATAAATTTACGAGATCCAATGTGTGGTGTAGCTATGGAAACATTTTTGTGAAACACAATAATTTTGTGCATAAGATAAATAATGAAAAAGCACTCAATGAAATAAGTTGAACCACTAGACCCATATTTTGATTTTGTTGTATATTGGACTGATACACTGATACCTATACTTTTTCATGTTTTCCATTTCTACCATGCGTGTAAGAATACCGCTATTCTCTCATGGTATTACTCAATATTGCTTTATATTATGTAAATAGCTATTTGGAAATAGATTTTCATTCTTTTACTGTTTATATGAGCCTCTCATTAATTTAATTTATACCCAATATGTTTTATTTACTAAAGTATTGTTAGACTTTTTTTTCAGGGCTTATTTTGTTGATTTTGATATTGTATTTAAGGAACTGGTACTTGACACTTTTTTTTGTGTTTTCCCATTTCTGTTATGTATAAGAATACTGCTTTCCTCACATTATGTAATATATCCGATCCATAATGTTTGGATCTGAATCATTTTCTGCTTAACACATAATAACCTATAATAACAGTTATATGAGCTTCTCATTAATTTCTATTTATACCCATTCGTATGACTTGACTAATTTGGTTTTTTTTTTTTTAGTAAATTTTTGTGCTTCATTGCTCCACTATATAATATATATTTTTTATAACCTAGTGTCAGTGAAATTGAGGAGAAACCGACATAAATACAACCCTACTTTTTTTTTTACCCAAAAAATAAATTTCTTTCGATATCACAGATTTGTTTCCGACAGAAGCTACTCACTCTCTATTTCTCACTTCAGTTGCTATAATCCATTATTCACTCATTATTCTCTCTATCTCCCTTTCTATCTCTGTTTCTTCTTCCCTTTCTTTTTCTACTTTTCCCTTCTCCATATGCTGCTGAAGATCTCTCATATGAATGTAAGATCTCTCATACCACATTTTCTTGAATTTCAAAACCAGATTGTTGATGCAGACTTTGACATTGTGGGAGTTACAGAAACATGGCTAAATAATGGAATACCTACTAACATGGTAGACCTAAACGGATACACGTTTGTTCGACAGGACCGACCTACTAGAGGCGGTGGCGTAGGTATATATGTAAAAAATAATTTAAAATTTGATGTAATATTCTCAGAATACAGTGAAACCATGGAATACATATGGATTAGAGTTTCGATCGATAAATATATAATCGCAATAGGAAATGTTTACAGACAACCCAGTGGCAACAATTTCAAATTTCTAGATCATTTTGGTAATATTCTCGAACTTTGACCATATTATTTGTTTTGGTGACTTTAATATTAATATGTTAGATGTAGATGCCAACATCACTATACGTTTCAATGATATTCTTGACACCTTTGGCTGCAAACAATTGATACAAGCACCAACACGGGGTTTTTCGTTACTAGACTTGTTTATAACAAATTTTGATACTCAGCACTGCTACGAAACGGTCGGGAGTGACATGATAGCTGATCACACTTCGATCAATTGTAAAATTAACTTGGAATCTACTGCTACTCAGTCAAAAAAAACTCTAACATATAGATCTCTTTGTGATATTGTGCAAGAATATTTTCAAACTGACCTTCAGTTACAACCATGGAATCTCATTTACGAGACAGACAATATTGATGTGAAAATTTCTCTTTTGAATCACAATATACTTAATGTTCTAGACAAACATGCTCCCATTAGGTCAGTGTCACAAAAACAAACTAGTTACTCACCCTGGATAACAGAGAACATAAAAATTATGCAGAGGTACCGAGACAAAGCTCTACAAAAATTCAGAAGAACTCAGCTTCCTAAACATTGGACATATTACAAGCAATTAAGGAACTATACCACTAGTGCCATAAAATCCGAAAAGAAGGCATATCTGAATTTCAAATTACAAAACTGCAGCGCTAGAGATAAATGGTCAGAACTGAAAAAACTCAACATATCCAAAAAAAGTCGGGCTGAAATTCCTTCACATATGAATTCCGTCGAGGAGATAAATAACTTTTTCATTAAAGTTACAAGGGACATACCAGTCGACAAAAACTTACTTGATTTTTATAAGAACAATAAAAAACACGATATTGAGAACGAATTTATATTTCAGATAGTAAATGAAGAAACTATAATTGATATCATAAACAACATTAGTAGTAAAGCCTTCGGAAATGATGAATTCAATATTACTATTATAAGGTTATGCTGTCCCCTGATTGTTCCAATCATTGCCCACATTATTAATGTGTGTTTGTTAATTGGATATTTTCCAACTGAATGGAAATTTGCTAAGGTGATTCCACTGCCTAAAGTAAGTTCTCCCAAAGAGTATAGTGATCTGAGACAAATTAGTATCTTACCGGTTCTTTCGAAAGTTTTTGAGCGAGTTATAGAATCTCAAATTAGAGACTTCGTTAATAATAATAATATTCTACCCATCAAGCAATCCGGTTTCAGAAAGGGTTATAGCTGCGCCACGGCACTTGCAGAAGTCGTTGACAATTTATTAAAAACAATTAACGATGGAAAAATATCTGTACTGGTATTGTTAGATTTTTCTAAGGCCTTCGATATGTTGAATCATGATATTCTAACAGCGATGTTTAAATACTTCCATTTCAGTGAAACAGCATGTTCCCTTCTCTCGTCATATCTGAAGGGCCGAAAACAAATAGTACAAATCGGTACTCATAAATCTACGCCTCAGGGTATTACTTGCGGGGTGCCACAGGGTAGTATTCTTGGTCCACTATTCTTCACTTTGTATACATCACTCTTTCCTGATTCGCTCAAATTTTGTGACTATCACCTTTATGCTGATGACACGCAGCTATATTTTCCATTTCAATATTCTGATACACCGGAAGCAATCCAGTGCATCAACAGAGATCTCGAAGAATTATCCAATATCTCGCGCAGCCACTGTCTGAAAATAAACCCCTTAAAATCGAAAGCGCTCATATTTTGTAGTGATAATACCTTAGCACTTATCAAGGACAGAGTATTACTTGAGATTGTTGGTACCTCAATTCCAGTTGAAACTCATTGCAAAAACTTAGGTCTAGTCCTGGACAACAAATTGAGGTTCAAAGAACATATATCCTCCAAACTAAGAATTGCATATGCCTCACTGAAAATGATTTATACCCAACGGCAATTCC